TAAATTTGTGTGCGGCGCTGTCTTTGGGGGCTTCGGGCCGGTTTGCCAGTTACCGCCTCACATGTGCATTGGATTTATTGTCAATTTTATTTGTTATCATTGTTGTTGTATATGTGTCTGTGTGGATATGCGTGTGTATGGCTGTGTTTGTGTGAGCTTGCTGTTATTTACACTGACACAATTTGAAATTGTATTAAAAATTAACGGCACTTTGGTTGCCTTGGCTGCAGCTGCAACACGAGTGCAGGCAACCATTTTTTTTAGGGGGGCTTAGCTATGCCACCCAATCCCAATCCCACGCCATCTCCCTCACCCACACACCCATGCACACACACACACCAACTCTTTAGTTGTCTGACAGTTAGGTGTACCGTTACCCAAGGGTCTTCAGCTGCTGCTGCTCGTTGCAGCCCCTTCGATTACCGTCAACCGACGCCAGCTCCAGCTCCTGCTCTGGCTCCCTCTGCACTTGTCACATTTTGGCTTTGGGCCCTGCCCCAAATCAATCAAGCACACACATACACACACACAGCTATAAATTTTGTCACTGGGGAACTGCCGCTGGCTGTGTCCAACTTACGTTTAAGGCAGGCGCGCGGCTTGGCCTGTTTGCGCCTCGACATAGCCAAGCAATCCAAGTGTACTGGAGAAGCAGCCGCACAGATATACCAAAAATTGGCTTAACGGTTAATAACAATTAGTAACTGTAAACGCGCGTTGCACTAGCCAAAAAGCGCGCCAAACACGTGTTTCACTCGAACAAATTGTTGTTTTGATTCAGATGGTTTGGCTACGTTGAGCCGTGTCTGTTATCCTTGCGCCTGCAGCGTTCGCAACTGACTGAAGCTTGGCTGTTGGCCCAAAGTCCTGGCGACATGCCACAACACACAGGCGAAGAGAACACAGAACGAAAGCAAACTCTTAAACAAAATGGCAAACGACGCAGCAGCGAGCGAGAGAGCGCGCAACCGGAGCATGTCAAGGAGAGTGAGCAGGAGAGGCAACAGTAGAGGCAGCGGCAACGGCAGAGGCAGAGAGAGTAAGTGAGTGTGTGTGAATGAGAGCCACCCAAAGGCCGTAAAACTTGCCGGCCAACACAAATATTCGAAGGCAACCGGCTTAACCCCTCGAGGGTTGCAACAAACATTTTTTTTCCATCCCCTAGAGAATCGGGAATCGCACCAATCGGTGGCGGCCCTGTGGGTGCCCACTGGCCTATTTCACTCTCGTCTGTAATGTCGCATGCTGTGACGTATGCGCCGTAGGAGCTTGCCGCCGCCTGTTGCAATTAACAAACAGTCAAGTCAATTATTTTCATGCCCCTCGAGTTTCGCACGTGCGTATGGGGGGTCCCGAGCGCAGTTCCTCGTACCGCGCTCATCGTTTCGGTTAGCCCAAGTCAAGGTGCTGCTGTTGCTTTCTCAGCAGCGGGAGTTGCCTTCAGCAGTGCGTGAGAACGAGAAGGCATTGCCGTGTAGCGTAAAACAGGAGCAGGAGCAGAAGCAGGAGCAGAAGCAGTAGTCGGCACAGGAGCTGCAGCAACAGCGGGTGTCTAAATCTTTATTCATCAGTTTCCACTCAATCTCAAGAGCTGCGCCTTGGGTTCCGCTTCACTTGAGTTTCACCCTTAAATCACAGATTTGGTTTCGAATTTGCAATTGAATAATTTGCTTAAGCAATACGATTTTTGACTTTGAGTTAGGGCTAACATATCAAAATATTTATTCTTCGCAATCATGTCTTAGTTTCCAAAAACAAAAAAAAGAAAATGAACTAAATATTACATATACATATATTTACTTTAGATAGCTACATGAAAGTATACTGCATTGAAAAACGCTGAAAGATATTAATAAAAAGTATATATTTTATAAATTGAGAAAATAAGATATTTAAAGGCATCTCAAATAAATTTTTTTAATATGTAGAAAACGTAATACATTTTTCTATTGAGCTTAATTAGTTCAAAAAAAAAATAAATAAAATAAAACAAATGCAAAACATTTTGTGTATGTAGGGAATATATGAAAGAAAATATCTATCTTCACGTATAAGAAAAGTTGGCAAGTCGAAATAACAAGAGCCTTTTCTTTGAGAATACAGCGAATCGCCTGATGTATGTCGTTTCTTGAAGGCTCCAACGTAATTTTTATACAGATTTGCTAATATTAAAATGAAAAGAGAAAGCAAACAACCATAATAATATATGAAAAGCTAAAATCTTCTTTAGGATTTTCAGATATTAATTGCTATATATTCTGCCTTACTCTAAAAATAATTTGTTTTAAATTAAATAAATAAAAATTTTTACTTAAGTTCCAGACGTTTTTGTTTTAGCTTTTTTTAAATATTTTTTAAATTGATATTTTTTATTTATGTCCAAATTGTAGAGAGTTTCAAAATGCGCGCGGCTTAAGCAGTTCAAAAGAAGTCCTGTGTACTGTGCACTGCTTGTTGAGCATCCGTGGCACTGCTTGCCTTGTAGGGTCACTGCTTGCCACTGACTAAAAGTATGCTGTGGTTAAAATTTAAAAATATTCTGTTTTATTGAGATATGCAAAACGAACAGCCAGATAACAATAACGTAAAATGGTTGAAGAAAATGAAGAGAACAAAGTTAGAGACAAAAAAAAAAGACTTGTAAGAAAAGTAGAGTAATAGTTTGAGTAGAGTATATTCCGATAATGTCATTAAATGATACAAAAAACAAAAAAGTAAAAATGCTACTAAATCAAAATCACAGACCTATAGAGAACTTAGTCAATATTCATTTCCATACGAACGTTTGCTATACAAATTCCAATTTAATCTATAACTATATTTTTTAGTGAAAACCCCCTATATGTTATCAAAAAATAAATATTTACTAAAAATATAATAAATATTTATAGTACAAATATTTATAATAAATATTTAAGCTCTGCTAAATCTTAATATTTTCGCGACATCACAAATCTGCTGCACTTCCTATTTCCTTGCAAGACAACCACTAAAAAATCCGCTTGGCAACGAAACCCTAAAGCACTTCCCGCACCCCTTTGTGGCCCATGCGGAAGCCTTTCGTTGCGCCTTGCTTCCCATTGAGCGATTCATTCAACTTCTTTGTTTACTATGGCGTACGAGAAGCGTAGTAAAATGTAGCGGCATGCTGCAACTTCTTAACCCACTCGCAAAGGAGCCAAAAAACAAAAGAGAAGTGAGAGAGGGGAGCGGAGAGCGGAGAAATATGTAAGAAAAAGAAAACATCTGTCGCAGCATTTAAAAATCCGGTTGCAAGCTGCAACATGGCCAAAGATGGGGGCCAACCGAGCCACATTTAAGAGAACATATGATTGAGTTCCCAAAAAAATACAACAAAAAACATATAATGCACCTTTTCGTGCAGCAGCAGCGGCAGCAGCTGCTGAGAGCTAAATCCTCACACATTAAACTGTATCTATGCGTGTGTGTGTGTGTGTGTGCCGCCTGTTGCTGCAACAACAAGCACACACACATGCCACAAGTTGTTGAGCCTCACAAAAAACAAAAAGACAACATATTGATGAGCAGGACGAGCAACTCCTGCTGTTGTTGTTGCTGCTGCTGTTGTCTAAAGGAAGCCACATTAAATTTGGAGTTTGTCGCTCATCTTCCTCTTCTTCTTTGTTGAGCGCAGCAGCTGCCGCTGGGTTTGACTGCGTTTCATTAATACGAAAAGGTGTCTTCAGCCTGTAGATAGGTCAAGTTTTAATGTTTACCATTTGCATTCATTTATTTTATATATCTATTAAAATGGGGAGGTAATTGAAAACTTGTAACATATAATTAACAGATAAAACTTTAAATATATTAACTCTAAAGTTGTTAATATTCTCTTTGAGAAAGCGAACAATTTATAATGGAAATCAAAAAATTTTTTATAAATTTTAATAATAAAAAATCCATTTTATATTTTAATTTAAATATTTTTAGTTTTTTTCATTTAT